AATTTAAAAATTGTCAAAGTTGAAATTTATAATAAAAACATAGTAAGTGAACTCAAACTTTTGGAAGCAACTGTATACTTTTAATTAATTTCTTAGCCAATATATCAGAAAATTTATTTCATTTCTTCATTATTTCTTGTTTTAAACTTATAATTCTTCTAATTTTTTTTTGTTGTATTTTAATCTTTAAGAGTCATTATATATTTTTTATCAGATTTTGATCTAAAAAATATACTGATCATGAAAATACCTTAATATAGTTTACTTTTTTTTATTTTTTTATCTTTTTTGAATAATATTTTGGATTATTATCTTCTAAGAAATATCAATTCATATTGTTATTACAAAAAAATACTAATATAAAGGTTAAGAAACTCTTTCTATAAATTTTCATAAAAAACCAGTATCAAAATTGTAGATAAAGAAAATTAATATGTCAAATACTGAAACTAAAAAACAGTCTTAAATATGAATTTTTTACAAATACTTTATAGTTTAAAATACTTTTTGTCTGTCAATATATTGTTATATTTTTTATTTTATTAAAATAGACAGATAGTACATATATCAGTAAATATTACCTTATTTCAATTAAACTTTTAATGTTTTATTGTTCAGTTTAAATGATTTTCTTAATACCTTTCACTAAGAGGTGAATTTGATATTATATTTATATATTTGGCTCCAAATTCAATCAAATGATATTTAATGATAATTTTACTAATGTTAATATCTAATTTTCTGAGTTTTCTTTTTACTAATTATATAAGTTTGTTTTTTGACTATTTTTGAAATTTTTATATTTTGAATAGAAGTTATTATATAAATAATCAGATCTTAGTTAATCATTTAAATTTTGATTTTGATAAAATTTTCAAAATACTTTGATAACAGCAAATCTTTGTAACTAATATAGATAGTTGCTTTTTAAGACCAGGTTTTGGTCCTAGTGAATATTATAAAGAAAGACAAATTTGTATTATTTATTGAGCAAAGATGATATTTTTAAATGTAAAACTTATCAATTATCTGATTTTTGCAAAAGATATTATATAAATTTACAAAAGCATTAATAATCATTATTTGTATTATTCATTATTTAAAAAAATTTTCAATTATTATGAAATTTTAAAAAATAAAAGAGATAACTTGCTTTTGATCAGTACTATAAAATTATAAAAAATTTTTTATTTTATTGTATATATATAATAAGTACTATAAGTAATATATAATTTAATCATAAACTTATAAACCAATATATGCAAAAAAAGTATCACATTACTTTTATTTTATTATTTTTAAGGTTTTGTTTTTTTTTTTATTTATTTTTCTAGCTATCAGATATATTTAAAAAAATTATTAGTTTAATATAATATACCCTTTTATTTAATTAATTAATATGAATAAGGAAAAGATTCTTGCTTATATTAATAATATAAATATTAAGCAAATTGCAAAAAAAAAAAAAAGGGATATATTCCTTTACAATAAGATAGTTTATAATTAAATATACTGAAAAAAAATTGAAAATATATAAATTTCTTGCAATTTGAAAGAAAATCACTTCTTTTTAATAAAAAAAAAAATTTTTTTTCAAAAAATTATTAAAAAATATTGCAAGCCATTAAAAGATATTATCAATAATTTAAAGTTTACTTGCAATCCAATAACTGCTGCCAAGATATTACATAATACAGGAATTTATTTTTAAGTAATAGTAAAAAGTCATTTATGTCAGAAGTTAATAGAATTGTATGAAAAAATTGATATAAAAAACATAAAAATAAGAGTAAATATTATTGACAGCAAATTATTTTTTTAAATAAAACCAATATGAAAAGTAAAAAACAATTATATCAAATTAGAGTATGACATCACGACAGTAAGAGATACAATTCTAGTGTTTAATATCAAGTTTCAAAAGTGATAAATGTTCATTATGATTTGAGAATGTTTTGTAAGAAAGATTAAAAGTTATCAATATTTTTTGATGAATATAAAGAAAAAAAAAAATCAAGATAAAAACCTATCTAAAGATTTTAGAAGACAAATTCATATCATTTTTTGTTGCAAATTAGTTCATGAAGGAAAAATTGAGACAATGATTTGAGATAATATTCAAAAACATGAAGATTTTCCACATAATATAAATTGCTTTAAAGGAGGAGTCAAATTTTAATGTATCTATTTTGCAAGACATTGTAGACTCAATGCTATGGCGAATCGAAGCCATATTGGCAGGGTCAACCAAATACTAATAGATGAACCAATAAAATTTTTTAAATATGCGCCGGTTTTTTTACTTAACTGATGAGATGCGATATAAATTTATTGAGTCTATTTAATAAATAGAAGACACTAACTTATATAACCAAAATTTATTGATTATATTTGTGAGCTTAATCTTTACCTCCTATTGTTCGTGTGGCACTTTATGTCTAGGCTATATCGTATATAATGTGCCTTAAAATAAAGCAAGTTAAAAAAATGAATCTTTCTTGTCGCGACTGCTTATCACGTGATTTACCGGGTTTCTTACTTGCGCGCCGACCCTTGATTTATATTCATCAATTATACTACCCCCAAAATGGATTTTTTTTTAAATAAAATTTTGAAAACTAAAAAAAAAAAATTCGGTACCAAGAAACGCAGTCGATAGCATAAACAAAGAATTCTTTCTTTAAAAAATATGCAGAATATTTACTACCCATATGTAAGCTGAGAGTTGATATATTAATTCTTTATATGATTTACAAAAAGTGAAAAAAAAAATGCATAAACAAGAGAATTAAATAACGACCGAACTATTCTCATGTGGTTATTTTTTCGCTCTTCCTAACAAACCCTTTATGATATTCTTGTACGATACCTAATACCTCTTTTAGTTTGTCAATATCCTCTTCGGTAACCGAAGTTTTACCATTTACTTCAGCTTTGGCATCGTCTAAACTAAATCTATAGTTTGACAACAATTTTTTTATTTCGACTAAACCAACAGCCGTCTGATTTAACAAGTTCAATACTCCTTCGGCTCGTTCCAAGAGTTCTTGGGCTTCAGAATGTTCACGATGATTTTCTTGCTTTGACTGACTCGAATAAACGAAATTTGCTGCTTCACCTCTTCCTTTAAATAAAACTTTTTCTGCGAATTCTCTTCTATTTTCTGCATCTTCCATTGAATCCGTTGCTTTTTTTAATTTCTCCTCGAAAGAAAGAATCTCCATATTAATTTTTTCGAGTCTTTCTTTGATATATGGCGCATCGTCTTTCGAAACAAGACGACTAAACAAACTTGGTTTTACCCTATTTAGAATTAGGTTGATTTGGTTTTCCAATACCAAAAACAATATGTCACCCTTTCTATACATAGCCTCAAAATTGGTTCCAGCATCAAATATTTTTCGACTAAATTCACGTAAACTTTCTGCAATAATGGCACCATTGTCCTTAAAAGCAGAATTACTCTCAATATGGTTCGCAAATTGTTTATAAAGAACCGTGCCCTTTATTAATGAGTCTGAAGCTGTTGAATAAAGCATATATTATTTAGGATCGACGGGATGTTTATTTTCATGAAATTCAAAGGTGGACTTACCAGGTAAATCTACGTTTTTCATTCCCTCCACCAGCTTTTCGGTTGAATCGGTAATGCCAATCATGAAATTCTAGAATGTGTGAATTTTGATTAAAAACATAGTCAAGCCGTTATACTATTATGAGAATTAAAGTTTCACTCATACTTTACTATGTTCATTGTTATGTTTATGGTTAGGTTCCTATTATTGAGGAAATTATTAAATAAATGATGATATAATAAATCGGGGATATAACAATAATATATAATTTACATATGCTGATAAAAGTATTGATGCCAACAATATCACGACTAATGAGGTTCCAAATATCCAACGGAGATTCAATAGTTCATTTCTTCTTGTAGAGGTGCTCCCTTCAGTAAAATTAGTCGGAGTCCGAAGCCTTCTTCGCCTCAATGTTGATTCCGCGATGCCATTGTTCAAACCTGCGTGCAGAAAACCTGTGTCAATAACAGTGCATTAAATTGTATTGTAGTGATTTTCAAATTTACCTAGATTATTTCCATAAGGAGCAGAAGATCTACTTTCTCGCTCTGATCTCGCAATGCCTTATTCCAAAAAATTAACATTATTTCGTTTTGTGCATATGACAAAAAGAGCAATATGCATAATAAAACCACTCAGGGTTACCATCTCTTCCATTTTCATTTTTTAATTCTCTACTCCTGGCCATCTGCGATGTTCGAGAGTTTCCTATTTATAATTAAGTTTAAAGAATTCCCATTTCCGGTCAATGAATACCATATTGACTCTACCTCAACCGTTCGTTGATATCTCAACGAGAATACTTTACATAGAAAAAAATTTTTCATACCTTCGCCGACATACGAAAGTTCATCAGAGAAAATGACATCCATCTCTTTTTGGGTCTTTAATTTAATAAACCCGTTTACTTTCAATAATATTGGAATATCTAGTTTCGCATGCTTATGACCTCCTTCCAACTGTTCATCGTTTTGTGTCTGTTGCCAATGAACTATTTGATCGGGGTATTTAGGATTATAGAATGTGTATATTAACAGATCTTCGTTTAAAGTTTCATATGAATGAAACAAAATTTTTTTATCAATATCAGCCCATGGTCGTTTTGTCTCCAAACTAATTGCGGATAAAAACTTATCCACACTCGATTCGCCATAATCTTCTCCGTGCATGACCCTGAAACCATGCCCTTTAATAATGGCCTCGATATCTCTATTCATCAAATTACTATTATTACGAATTTTCTGTAAATAAATGATTTGATCGGGATATTCTTGATTGTAAAAAATCAATGTCGTTAAGGATTTTTGCCCTGACAATAAAGGATAAGGATAGTCTTCTAATTCTCGTTCTGGATGTTCCTCATGATAAGTCGCTGACGATGATAAAATATTTCCAACTTGCATACGCTTTTCGCATTCTTGTACCAACTTATGGTGGTATTGCAAAAAGGATTGTATGGAATCTCTATTATTCTTCCAAAATTCATTAATAACCAATTCTTCGATAAATTCGAAATCTTTTTCTTAAATATTTAACCAATTATCAGAAGAGTTAATATTACTGGAGCTTAACATTTCTGAATTAATGATATTTTTAGAGAAATTATACCGTCTAATTTAACGCTACAGTTCTCTGGACTATTTGAACTGCCGTCAATGTCCTTATTGGAAGCTAGAGACATGTTATCAGGAGGGAATTGCGCTTTAACCGAGTATTCTGCACGCACAGAATTTGAACTTTATAAGTAAAATTTATGTGTGAAATCTCTAGCGCGATGTGATGATTATTTCTGGATTAAAATTTCATAAGTTTTTGCGTGAGAAAGTTATCGTGGGCACATGTAGTTATTGTTTCTGTATTAGGATTTTATCATTTAAGTTTAATAATGAAATTTTCCTTTGACAATAAAGAAATTTTCAATTAAACCAAAACATTTTCTCAATATGCTGCATATCATTAGTCAAGAATCGATTAAAGTTTGCTGCGTCTCGAGGTTTTTGGTTTAGTTGATTGTCAACTTTTACATTCATATTGTTCTGTAAGGATGAATGGTATTTCCGTAATTGAAATACTGAGTAACAAAAAAGTATTCGAATTTTTTATTACAGTATTGAAAATCAACGCAACTTATTTCTTAAACCTATATTATATACTGTATAATTTCACTATATAGCTAGTCATTTGAAAAGTATAAATTATTATTATTATATTTGATTCTACTTTTGATTAAGCGTACCTTTTCTGACCTAAAATTTTTTTTGTTTCTTACATTAGTTGAAATTGTGACATTTGACAATTAAACTTCATCAGATTTAATTGAATTAATAAAAAAAAGATTTTTGAATAGTATTACAAGGCATATATATTATTATTATTTTAACAATAAAGTGTTAATCAAATATTTGATAATGAATTATTAATTAAATATTTGAAAATATAATTAATTAATAATTTAACAAAAATTCGATATCAAACTATTTATCAATAATATTATAGTTTACAAAATATAAAATATAACCTTATTAATATGCAAAAAAAGAATTTAAAAAATATAAATTTAAAATAATAAAAAGGTTTTAAATAAATTTATTCCATATTAACAATAAAATTGCTTTTTAAGAAACTCTAGAAATAAATAAAATTAATTTATTTATTTCAGATATATTGATCTATCAAATTTTGATATTATAATAAGTTTATTCCTTAATATTAAACTTGTTACAAATAATTTTACTATATCACAATTTTCATTTCAGATGTTATCATGATGATAACACCAGTTAAACTAAAGGTTAGCCAGGCATTAAGTTATAACATATGTAATTTTTGTAATTTTTGATTGCATAAATAAGGACTTAAAATTGTTAAAATTAAAATTTATAATAAAGAATTAACAACTACTGTATAATAAAAATATAAAAAAAGAGATCGTGACATCTCTACTGGAATAACCTTAAATGACCGATTGAATCTTGGACGCAGCAAAACTTTAACCTATCACTGACAAATTAGTCATAAGTTATGCATATTAAAAGCATGTTTTCGGTTTAGTTGATTGTCAAAAGAAAATTCCATCTATCAAAACCTAAAGAGAATCGAGTTCTGCGCGTGACCATTGAATTCATTGAATTTATCCTAATACAGAAACAATAAACCACGAATGTTAACGACTAAAGACTTATAAAAATTCGGATTTCACGCGTGCAAGATGCATAATTTAAAATCCTAATAACATGCTTCCAACTAACAAAGAAGAAGATAACGGCAGTTCAAATGCTTCAGAGAATAGTAGTTATAAATCAGATGGTACGATGTCTCTAACAGATGTCATTAATTCTGAAATGTTTTTAAGTGCATTTATAAATTCCAGTAACATTAACTTATCATTGGTTAGGTACTCACGAAAACGGTTCCGAATCTAATGAAGAATCTACGGATGAGTTTTTAAGGAATCATAATGATTCGATGCAACCCTTTTTTCAATACCAACAGCATTTTTATGAGTTTGCACAAGAATGCGAAAAGCAGGGATTAAACAACCATCCTTGTCATCGATTGTCAGGATACCTATCCATAAATCCATCGATTTTTTACAATAAAGAATATCCCGATCAAATTATTTATTTGCAGAAGAATCAAGACGTTAATAATCCAAATATTGATAGAGATATCGAAGCCATTATTGAAAAATATGGATTCACAATGCAGAATGATGGTGAATCGAGTGTGGATAAAGAAAAAATTTCGGTTCAAACAACTTTATCTACATTCTATAATCCCAAATACCCTAATCTGATAGTTCATTGGCAACGAAAAGTTCCTCCGTTCTTAAACGAGTTTATTGAGCTAAAAATAGGAAAAGAAATAGAAGCCAGTCCCTCTTATGAAGGTAAACATTCGCACGTCAAAGGTATGAAAAAAATTTTATGCAAAGTGTTCTTCTCTTTATACATCTGAACAATATCGATAACGGTTGTGATAGAGTCAATGAGATATTCATCGAATGTAGATGAGTCATTCTTTAATACTGTATATTCAAAATTTAATTATTATAATAGGGAATTCACAAACATCATCGGAGGGGAATGATAATGATGGTATTTCTTCAGAGCGGTTTTTTTTTTTATTCTTTTATGTGCATACAACTAAATATTCAATGGTATATACTTGGATCTAAGGATCGAAGCAAAGTATATCCCCCACTCCAGATGACACCGCGACAAGTTCTACTGAAGAAAATACTTCTACAGTAAAAAAAGAACTATCGAATTTCCGTTGGATAGCTGATTCTTTACTATCTATGTCACCAAGAAATCTCGGGTCCTTATTAGCCGTGATATTGGTGGCAGTAATATTAGTGTTTATTTGCGGCGATGTAAGTATATTGTTAAATCTTTGATTTGTTATAAAATTTGCATTATTGCTTATTCAATAATTTACTTCAATATTAGGAACCGCGCCCCGAATTCAATAAAGTGCGTGGGTAACTTTAAATCTCGGATTTAATGGAATGATTTGATCGTATTTTAATAATGATTACTATTCTAGAATTTCATATATGATATTGCCAGTTCAACCGAAAATTTGGTGAATGGAATATATAACGTAGAGTTACCTCGTAAGTCTTGCACCTCGAGTTCCATGTAAATAAACAGTCGCTGATCTAATATTACACACTTTATTCAACAGCTTCAAGTTCAATAATGAAGGGCACGGTTCTTTATAAACGATTTGCGAACCTTGTTGAGAATAATCCAGCATTCAAGAAAAACGGTGCCAGTTTTGCAGAAAATTTACGTGAACTTAGTCGACAGATCTTTGATGCCGGAACGGCCTTTGAGGCTATGTATAGAAAGGGTGATATGCTATTTTGGGTATTAGAAATGCAAATTGATCGAATTATAAATAAGTTAGACCAAAGTTTACTTGGTCAAATTTTTTCAAGAGACGAATCGTCATATTTCAGAGAGAGACTTGACGAAATAATTATGGAGATTCAGTCTTTCGAAAAGAAATTACAAATAGTAACGAGATTAATCGAAGATACAGAAGATAGAAGAGATGATACTACGGAACAAGTCTTGATAGATGGAAAAAGGGAAGCAGCAAGACTTATTGGGTCGAATGAATTCTTGCAAACCTTTTTCAATTCTACAAACGATTATGATTATGAAGAAGCTAAGGAACTTTCAGAGCAGTCTAGAGAATTGTTGAAGTTGTCAAATAAGACAGCTAAAGGTTTACGTGAAATAAGTGTATTATTGGTGAATTATAAGTATTATTTAATGGGCAAGGTAAATAGCGAAACTCCGATTACCAATGTGGGAATTGAAAGGCTAAGAAAGCTGTTAGGTAATTTACCAAAATATCGTGCAGAATTTATTAAGAAGGGCGAAAAAAGGATCATAGGTGATTTTCACTAGTTCAGTCTCTTGTTATGTACACTCTTATTATTTTAACATAAAAAATTAAACAGTATATACTGTATATTTAATAAATATCATTGTATCTTCAAAAAAATAATAAAAGAATGATCTTTAAAAAGACAGATTATTCAAATTATAACGCAGAAGCAAAAAAAATTATTATAGAAAGTACATGGATTCAAAAATTTGTTCTAATGTGTTAGTTCTATACATATTTATCAAATTT